GTCTTTCAATTACATTTTCTAAATCACTTGGATTATAATTATCAAAATAAATTTGTTCTTTTTCATCATCCACGTGCAATTCATCCCTGATATATTTTTTAACTTCTGTAAATGTAGGGTCGTTATGGACGCTGGGTGAAAATATAAATATTCTTGCGAATGAATTTCTATAAACATTCAATATTAAATTTTGAATAAGGACAGTCTTCCCGCCCGTTGAACTCGCGACTATAATACTTCTAAATGGTAGTTTTGGCACGTGCTCATATTTAGATTGTTTGAATTCATATTCAGTTATGTTTATTGGTTTTATTATTGGAACATCTGACATAGTTGATATTAAAGAAATATAGAAAATTATATTTAAAAATTAACTTGTAATTATTATTAAATGGAACATCATTTTTATGATATGCTGGTGGCGAATATCATAAAAATGGAACAGGCTTTTCCATTGCTTCAATCAATAAGCATTGAAGCTAATTAGTTTGTATCTCGCTCGCGTGTGCAATGAAAACCCCAAGTGCTGTGCCCTCCGAATATTCTATCATGTATGAAAATAATAAGATTAAATAAATATTTTATCTTATTATTTATATGACTATTATCCATTGCAGTTGTGGTAAAACTTATGATGACAAATATTTTTTTAAACATCTAAATTCAAAATATCATCAGAAATTTGTAAAATATAGATGGAATAAAGACGATACAATGAAAAAACTTTACAAGAAAAGAAAGACAGAAATGAAAAATAATTTATCTTATTATTTAATATGAAAAGGAGTTATACAGATTATATTAATATAATAGATGAAATGGAGAATATAGAACAAGTACTAATAACTGATAATAGATGTAAAAAAATGTTATTTTATTTTAGAATTAATTAAGTTTTTGATACAATATATTAAAAATATAAATATGAATATAAATGGGAAAAAAGAAAAAGAGTAAAAGCAAAGAAAGACCAATACCAGATATTGAAGCACGGAAAGAAACAGCAGAAAGTGTTAAATCACTAGGCGAAAGTAAGACTATAAAATGTGATAAATGTAATCACATAATGAATTTTAAAAATGAATTGACAGTAGATAAGAAAGGCGGAGTTAAAGTTAGTTGTGTCCCATGTATGTTTTCTTATAAAAAAAACAGATAAAGATTTTAATATTCAGAAAAGAACAGATGGTGATATGGTTATTGAAACTAACGAACATTTGATTAATGTTAGTTTTAACAGGGACATAAGTTAGTATTTAAAGAGTAGATTTAACATAAATGCACTTTATAAATATATAATTAAATAAATAATTATCTAAATAAATATATAGTAATGTCTGAAAATGAGAATTATACTATTAATGATTTAATGAAGAAGATAACATTAATTGGTAAACATAGCAAGAACTTAAATGATATGATTAAATCCATTGATGACAAAATGAAACCAGTTGAACGCGAACAACAAAGCAACGAAGAGAAGGAGAAAATCGAAAAGATATTTCAAGCAAAATCTATAGGAAGACCATCGGGCGACTACCCTACAAAGCAAAAGAAATACTGCGATATGTTGAATACAGGAAAAATCAAACAACCTAAAAGCACCACTTTAGAATTTTACAAAATTTCAAAAAATGATGATGGAGTATATGTATTAGATGAATAATTAATTATCTAAATAATTATAATAAATGAATTTATTAGAATTATTTAGCGGAACAAAAAGCGTCGGAACCATAGCAAAGTCGCTTGGATTTAATGTAATATCATTAGACTTGAAAAATGCTGATATCAACACTGATATTTTGGAGTGGGATTACAAACAGTTTGACAGAAACCATTTTGATTTTATTTGGAGTAGTCCCCCATGCACTGAATACAGCGTAGCAAAAACTAGGGGAATTAGGAATATCGAATATGCAAATAGTATTGTCTTAAAAACTATTGAGATTATCAAATATTTCAATCCTAAATATTTTGTAATCGAAAATCCACAAACTGGATTATTAAAACATCAGGAGTTTATGGATGAGTTTGATTTTAAAGATGTTGATTATTGTAAATATGGATTTAAATACAGGAAGCGCACGAGGTTATGGACGAATATTACTACTTGGACGCCACGCGCATTATGCCAACGAGACTGTGGGAGCATCAGGAACGGCAAGCATGTGGAGACGGCACAGCGACTACCAAGCGGAAAGAAGGCGGACTGGGGCGACTACTACATCATGCACAAGCAGGACGAATTGTATAAAATACGAAGTGAGTTGATATTAGAAATCCTAACGGCGATGCAGACGAGGCGATACGGTGAGGCGGAATAGGGCGACGCCCTTGATTTTCATCATCAATTTTATAATATTTTATATTTTATATTATATGCCTTTTCCAACCCACCCTCCTCTGGTCGCGTGGTCGAGGCACTATTCACCCGCTGTTGATGTAGTAGCATACCTGGGATGGGGCAGAAAAACATAAAACATAACAAGCAAACATACAAAGAACAAAAACGACACTACCACATGCACATGTTATTGGTAAGACTAATTGGAACCGAAGGTCTCATACTGTGTCCTTCTTCTTCGCACGCTTGCCCTTGCCCTTGCTCTTGCTCTCGTTCTTCTCATTGCTGTTGCCATCACTGCCTCTGCCATCCATGGGGTCATCATCAGCATTGTCATTGTTGCCGTCATCGCCCTCTGTGTTGACACCTGCCGATGCACTCTCCGGTCCTGCCCTTGCCCTGTCGCGAATGGCGGTGGTTAGCATATCAGTGAATTTTGTCCATTGTATATGCCCGTTGTCATCAGACAACTCACTGCACAAAATGCACTCGGTGGCAATCGGGAGCACCTCATGAACACCTGACACTTGATGTTGTAGTTCTCGCAGTTCCTTAATGTCATGCTTGAATAGCACGCGTCCAATATGCATCATCTTGTTCTCGGTTTTATGTGAAGGCATAGTGGCAACTTTCACCAAGGCGTCCAAATCACAATCGCTCATTGTAGAAACGAAGTCGCTGAACACCTTGTGGGGGTTCTTCTCTGCCTGTTTGCCAACTGCCACCAATGTATCCACAAACTCACTGACGCAATCTGCATAGGCACCCATGCCGGTTGTTCGCGCAACAAATGCCTTCATTTTGTCTTGGCACTCCCGTAGACGTTCGTCCTTAGCATCTGCATCAACATGCCCACGTTTTGTTCCACGCTTTCCTCCTCCATGTTGCACCACCACTGCATCATTCTCATTCTCATTCTCGCTTGCCTCACTAGTAGAACAAAGCATGTCCATGATGATGTGCCGCACGCTAAAGACTTGGTCATCTTGCTCTATGCCCGATATGGCATGTATCTTGTCCATCACAGCACTGAAGGTATCATCGGTATGCACATCCAGGACTGTAGTCACGCCAGTAGGGGTCTTGATGCATATGCCAGCAATCATGGCAGGTGAGCAAAGAAGGAAGGAAGAACTTAAATGCTACACTGTGCCACTAGGAGGCGGGATTTCCTAAATCACATTTGAGAGGAACAGCAACAATACATACAAATTCAATCAACCCTGCAGCATGCCCCCATCACAGAACAAAAACGAATGAACATAACCTTGCCCGTCTTCCCATAGGTGATATTCCCCAAAAAATATTACACAAAACAAAAACGAATGAACCAGGCCATGCGCAACTCCGGAATATCAAAATTTTGAAAAATGATTAATTATTTGTCTTCTCATTGAATTATTGAAAATGTTGTTTCTTATTGAATAATTCTTCTTAAGATGCTATATATATTTATCTCTTTTGAAAAAAATATATTTTCTAAAATATTTTGGAAAATGTGTGTTTTTGAAAATAAACATGTTTAGGTGTATTGAATTTTTCAAAAAATAATTCAATTTTTGTTTTGGTATGCTGTGCTAAAAAAATATTTATCAAAATGTGTTTAGACTGTTTCAAAAAATGTTTTAAAATGGCTGTTTTGAGGCGCTTATTCAAAAAATGCAAAAAATCCTAGGGTAGACCCTAGACTTTTGAGTCCGAAAAAAGTTGCGCATGGCCCTACCTAACTATATATGGGTTACGGTATGGCTCGAAATGAAACCGAGGGCCCGCAGGCTTTAGTCCTTTACATTTACCAGGCTTCCATGTTGGGTACCGATTTTTGGCCCACACCTGTATCATTTTGTATCTTATGTTGACGTCTCATCAGATGTCAGACCTGCTGGAGCCATGATGACACTGCCAACAAGTGAGACCCGGATGGCCATAACTTTGTTTGTTTACTGTGGCTCCAGAAGGCAGCCGATACCTTCTTCCGGAAGTGGCTGGCCATACACCAACCGGCGGAGCTTGCCATGTCCGCTCCACCTGTTCCGAACGGAACCCACTGACCTTTCAGACCTTCCAAGCCCTCCCCCACTCCCCCACTCCTCCCCCACTCCCCCACTCCTCCCCCACTCCCCCACTCCTCCCCCACTCCCCCACTCCTCCCCCACTCCCCCACTCCTCCCCCACTCCCCCACTCCTCCCCCACTCCCCCACTCCTCCCCCACTCCCCCACTCCTCCCCCACTCCCCCACTCCTCCCCCACTCCCCCACTCCTCCCCCACTCCCCCACTCCTCCCCCACTCCCCCACTCCCCCCCACTCCCCACTCCCCCACTCCCCCACTCCTCCCCCACTCCCCCACCTCCTCCCCCACTCCCCCACTCCTCCCCCACTCCCCCACTCCTCCCCCACTCCCCCACTCCTCCCCCACTCCCCCACTCCTCCCCCACTCCCCCACTCCTCCCCCACTCCCCCACTCCTCCCCCACTCCCCCACTCCTCCCCCACTCCCCCACTCCTCCCCCACTCCCCCACTCCTCCCCCACTCCCCCACTCCTCCCCCACTCCCCCACTCCTCCCCCACTCCCCCCCCCGCCCAAACCCCCCCCTCCCCCTCCCCGCCTCCCCGCCTCCCCGCCCAAGCCCCCCCCCCCTTCATGCCGCGAGGAAGACAAGAAGGGCGAGCGCAACAATCGCCCCCTCAGGACCAAGGCGCGAAGGGCACAGAAGGGCGCGGTAGCACGGCGCGCGGGAAGTCCGAGGCAACAATCCATAGGAGTCACGTAAGCAAAATCTCCAGATACTTGGAGGGCAAGGGACAATCCCAGCCATAAGTGGGTAGGTGCGGATATCTGCCTTTTTGAAATCTTTAGATGGCTCTGGGTAGATCATTTCAATACTCAATACCAGGGTTTGATTGTGGCTCATATCCGCGTGTCACAAACGTTGGTTGGGAGTTTCGTCTGTTCATGCTGTAGGAAGTCTCCAGGAAACCGGCCGACAATGTCGTGCGTCCCATCTTAGCACCGAACCAGCCATGGCAAGGGGAGCCGATGGCCTGGTGAGAGTGAGGGACTCTTTTGGACCAGTGTCTTTGCAAGTTTCCGAAGCCCAAGATGTCGGATGCTCCACCCCCCCCTGTCATGAATTACTACCCAGCTTGGCGCTCTCTTTGGGCATGTCTTCTATGCGGAGCAACTCCTTCTGAAAGTTAATTGTTTCATGTTTCCCTGTGTGGTATTTCCCTATGTGGTATTGTTTCATGTTTCCCTTCATCTTGGTACTGAACCTGAAGTGGAGCGCTCACATTGACTTCTACTCAGATGAAACTGGATCTCGGAGAACCATCCGCTGCTTTTGGGGAGGGGGGAACCCGTACGATGGAAACAAACCGGGCCCATTTTGCCACCTCCTTCATTTAGGGTATTGGTTTTCAGGGTCCTTGGTTGCAACATATTGGGTGTGGCTCAAAGGTAAACAGCCAGGGCTTCGCAGGTATTGGTCCATGTTTCCACTTACCAGGGCTTCATTTTGGTACCGGTTTTTTGAGCCTCAGTGCCCACGTAAAGTTGGAGTTCCATGCGCGTTTCCTCGGATCGAGGGGCGAAGTGTCACCCGCTCCAGGTGAGCACCAAGGAGTTCTCAAAGTACGACATTGACCCCGACAGGACGGACCGTTTTTGGGGGGTCTCCGCCAGGAACTGGTGGATGGGTCTGTTCTTTCTTTTTTTCTTTCGAGGGTACCCGACTTTGGGCGGTTTTAAAGGGAAGCCGAAAGGAACATCACCATTTTGGGGGGGGGTCCGGTATAAAAAAGGAAGAAGAAGAGGCACATCCTGACATTGTCAGGTAGACTCAAGCAGAATCAGCGCCCCGGATGTAGGCCAGGATCAGAACCTGGGTACCTTATCACCGGGCCAAGCCCGTGTTTAAGCATGTTCAAACTACTATTCTGCAAGCCATATGCTGTTTTGCCTTGACGGGATTTGGTCCATCGCCGTTTGGGCCGAGTTTGATTGAGCCTTAGGGAACATGCGCAGAACGCATTGAGGGACCAAACAGTTTTTGGGTCCGACTCCTTTGACACCATATGTTTTAATTGCCAGCAGATGAACACGGAGCACGAAAAGGTGGTAGATTCCTCCAAAGGCAATGTTTTCTTTGGTTTATCCATGTTCGCCTGCAGAAGTGTGTGACTGAGCACGGTTGCTGAGGTTTCGGCACCTGAAGAGGGGGATAGACTGAGAAGGCGAATCTCGAGACAGGTGCTTCCTATGCAGCGGGAAGGTGATTGAAGGGAGGCTTCTGGCGTCCCTTATGCACCATACAAAATGGGGAACCCCCGGTTTAGGACGGCCCTCCCCGTCTTACATGTTGTTTTTTTGGCGAAGTGTCGGTTGATCAAAAGGGCCTTTACACGGGATGACCATTGGGGGAAACCACTAAAGACTAAACATATATGATATTTCAACCACGCTACCCATAGTCAAAACTGGGGGCCCTAAACGGAGCATTGATCAACCCCAAGTGCCACAGACCAGGCTACTAGAACTCGTGTCATGACCAGACCGGAAGGCTGGGCCATGCCTCTGCCCGGCTGCTCGGTGGTTTGCAAGGCTTCTACCTGTTTGGGGGACACAGCAGACAGCAGAATGCCAGCTCCGGTGTGGGCAACTTACGGACCTAAGGCCATGTTTTTTGTTGTTGTTGTTGTTGTTGTTATTTTGTTTTTCCGGTGCCCGTTTCATCTTAGTTTGGGGGGGGAACAAGAAGGACAACTGATTTTGGGCTCCCCCTGGTTTGGTTGCGCTTTCAACCTCATTGGGTTTTTTTGGGGTTGGGCTAAATAGACCCCACCTTGAGAATCTTCGACCCATTTTGGGGGGTCCTTTCATCCTTTTAGGTCCCTGCTGTGGATGGAAAAAAACAAACATTCTGGACCACATGGAAACCACTGTTGGGTGGTAGGTACGTTGGGGAAGCAACATTCCATGCTTTTTTTGGTGCGAAACGGATTTCGTCCATCGACGGTATGACGCCTCCGCCGCCCGCCGCATTGATCTGTTCGCTGCCTCCAGGATCGAGCGCGGGGAGGATTTCCGGACCACAGTCATGGTGCGGAACGTGGCAGGCGCCAACGCCCGAAAGGCGGGGCATGGGGTTCGACCGTTCGACCGTTCAAGCGTTTGTGAAAGATTGCGTTCCCGAGGCGGGGGTCGTAACATGTCCATGGATTTGGAACGGAGCTCGACATTTCAACACGCGCCGGGGAACGACAGCGAATTTCTGTGCCTCCAGGGCCTGGTATTCGCACGCGTGGAGTGATCCGGACGTGTCTCAAATTGGGAAACCTGCTTACGTTCGGCATATGGGTGTGTCTTTTTGATGGGACCCACCAAAATGGTGTTTGTTCCTTTTGGTTCCCTTTTAGAGCCACCAAAAAGGGGTTCCCGAACCAAAATTAGACAGACGCAGCCACATGAACCAACCTGCTTTTGGTCCCGAAGAGGATATGTAAAGCACACATCTTCTATTTCGCAATTGCCACAATTGACTGTGATGTATCAATGGAACCAACGGTGGCAAACACGTCCAAACCGCCTGAACCACCAAACTCATGGAAGCCATTTGCCGCCGGTGCTGAACAGAAAGCTGCCGCCTCTCAGTTCGGCATCTTTTTCAGCCAATCTCGCGCGGCGCAGCTGACGCCTTCTCAAGCCCGTGATTTCCACGTCCAAACTTGTTTGGAACGAAGCCGTCTGCCCGAAGCATGCCCCAGAAGAACAACAAAGGATGCCGAGCAAAGGGCGGCGATTTGGCGCCGGGTTTTCTCATGTGTTGACAAATGGTTCTTTTTTCTCCTGATGCCATTGATGGGTTGTCACCTTCTTGGGAGCTGGGCATGTATCAAGACTAGCGGCAGATCCTTTGACCTTTCTTGTTCCTTTTCTTTCAAGCAGCATCATGGGTCCCACTGGTCTGATCCCCCTGCGAACCGCGTCGCGTCTTGGGGTGTTTTGTCCGCTGGGTGCGCTCGTGGCCCGGAAGCAGGCTGCTGTTCTGCTCCAGAAAGGGGGTTGTAGTCAAAGGGGCATGAAGAAAGTTCTCACCAGTTGCATAAGTTGGTTTTGCCCCTTTGAAAAAAAATGGGGGCAGAACTTGGCAGACGTCGGCCAGGAATTCCTCAACTTTCTGGAGAAGTGCGGCTTGTCCGAGCGCGCTCACCTCAGTGAAGACCCCGTCAAAGATGTCCTGGCGTTGCCCAATGAATTTGTCCTCGCAAAGGCGAATGCAATTTGTTTGTTTTCCTGCCTGTCCCGTCCAGTCCGCTCCTGCATATGCTGTATACATATATATATATATATAATACATGTGCGCACTCTTCTCTCTCCCTCTCTCTCTCTCTCTAAAACAAGGGGTAAACGATTGGCCTTGTGGCCCCCCCAACAGATCTCCAACAGATGTTGGGGTTGGTGATCGAAGGAAAGAGCGGTGAGCAATACCAAGAGGAGCCAAGAAGTGAGGGCGGCTGGTGGCCTAAGAATGTGTGTTTTAAAGGGAATCTATCACTATTAGACATACTTTCTCATTTTTTTCCAAGAAACAACTGGGAGGTCAGCTTCGCTGGTTTCCCCTTGCGGGCCTTTCCCAGGCTTCACGTTCTTCTACATGCCCTGCAAGGAGCAGCGGAGTTCGAAGCACCCGCCACTTGAGACACGGGCTGCGCCTTTTTGGAGCTGTGTTCCATACAGATAGACAAAGTGACCAACCCTGCCAGGAGCTTTTATTTGAGCAGAGGTCGCCAAGGAAACCCAGCAACAGGAAAAGGAGGCACGCCTTTTCCGTTTCTAGGGGAGTTTTCCCTCCGTTCTTAGCCTGGGCAGACCTGGCTTTGCTCCTCACTCAGCATTTTCTGAGGGTCCGGCCCTGCATTGAACATTCGGAGTTCCGGTTGTTTCATTGCAAACAGACGGTAGAAGTCGTTTGTGCGAAGCTGACTGAGCTGATGAGAAGCGACTTTGGAATCACATGAAGCCCAGACGTCCGGTGTGGAATCGTTGCTCCAATTTGGCGCTGTCCGCATTGGTTCCAACCACTACAAACCAAACAACTAGGCCAGGGATGGGGGCATGAGCACACCATTTTTACCTGGAAAGAGCGTAGTATGATGTCTATGAGAAGATGAATTAAGAAATCAGAAAGGGGCATGGTTGGGGAAAGCATTTTGCGTGCACATTTCTGTGAGCGGCCAAGGTAATCCTGTTTAAGTGACCACGTAGTCAAAGTTGTGTCCCACAACCAGGCAGAAGGGTGTCAACATCATTTTCAGAGGGACTGAGTCCCTCAAAACTATTATTTCGAAATCGCACTTTGGGGCGTGGTTTCCCGGTAAACCGCCATTTAGTTTTCCCAGTACGGCTTGTCAGGAAGCCATGCTCCCTGTCGAGATATTTTGTGTGGCGGCTCTGTTGTTGGAGCTTTCATTTTGTTGAGCGAATGATTCCTTTCTTGAGCCTTAATATTGATTTCATCTTGAACTTTTTAGTTGAAGAAGGTGTTCCCGGATTGCAAGGGTGACAGGCCAGGCTAACGTGAGACCTTTCCTATTCTCGGACAATGTCTGTGGTCCAAAATGGATGGAACATGTGGTTTTCCACTGTTATGGGGTTTTCAAGAGGCTTCCAGATTGTTCTTGGCACATTCCTGGTGCGGAAGTTGACCATGCGCAAGTTGGTTGGTTGGTGAATGGTCTGAACAAAAACCCAACACCTTCCCATTCTCTCCTTGACAAGGAGTCCCTTGGCATCCTTCTTGAAAGAAACACACTGTAGACACACACACGCACAGACACAACACATCAATGTCTGAACGCATGCACCGGCCGTTTTGCCAGATTCAGCGGCGGGTGTGTCTCCCAGAGGGTTGTGGAGCTTATGCACGTGCTTCGGTTTTCCTTTGATTTCCCTTGACAGCACTGGCATCCGAATTTCCAAGAACGGATTCCCTCTTTGTTTTAGCCTATACCTTAGGGTAGACCTCCCAGTTGATAGTTCAAGTCACTTTACATAGTCTTGGGCCGATCTCTCTAATACCAAGTTTCTGGGGTCTCCAAAGATATTTTATTTCTTGGGGCCTTTAGCCTGGTTCCGCCGCCCATCCACATACATGTACACGTAAACATAAATACACACAAACACACAAACGTATAAGCATACATATACGCATACGCATACACATACACATACGCATACACATACACATACTCATACACATGCACATACACATGGGGTCAGCAGTTTTTTTTTTTGGGTGGACCCTATCTGAAGTAGAATTAGAACATATCATGTTCATCAGGCCCGGGCCAAGTTTTGATGCCTGGAGGTTTTTTTGGGGTTTTCCGCTTGCCTTGAGGCGCGCTGCCTCAGTTTTTTGCTCAGGGATGCGCGAAAAAAAACAAATCGGGAAATCGGGGAATGGGACGCCAGGAGCATCGTAACGTGTTGGCCGGCTTCGCATTTGTGAACTTTGTCGCGCCCACGGCCGGGGGACCCTGGGCAAGGGCGAGTGGGAGCTCTGCAAGCCTTTTCGGGATGCTTCGGTTGGGTGAACTCGGCTTTCCCGGGTTGTGGAGCCAGAAACCGCGAGGGAACTGAAAGGACAACCCCATTTTCGGGTTTCACTCGGAGAGCCTACTTGGGCCAGCGAGTGTTGGTGGCGATTGCGTTCTGAGCAAACTGCAACTATATAGCTGAGGGTCCCTTTTTCGAGGCCAAGTGTGATGGAGATCAAAGAGAGAGCGATAACTTGGGGGCCTCCCCTGCAAAAAGCAACGGCTGCGCCATCGCCGATTGCAGCAATCGATTTTGGTTCCAGCAGTTCAATCAGAATTGCGAGGGAGGCCGGCGACCAGAGCCATGGTCAAATGCATCCCTTTCGGTCCGGGGGAAATCAACTGTGCTCTCACCTTATTATGCCAGATGATCGGCAACTTGGCAGCGCTCACCGTTTGCCTGCAAGAGGTGATGACAGCACCCTACGAAGATGCACCAGGGGTGAACAAAGACCACATGAATAGCTTTGTGAAGAACGTGATTTACTCCAAGATTATCGCCGGTATGTGTGTGACCATGATCTTTGGCAACACATACTACGCTTGGATGGCCTACCGGATGATGCAAAAGGAGAAGACCACCAACGTGTGCACCTTGCCCTATGGGATCAACACTCCTGCCGCCTTTGCCTTCGTCTTCAGCGTCGTTGCCAAGGCGGCACAGGAGGGAGCAAGCCAAGGTATCTTTGGTGCATTTTGCCAAGGGATGTTAGAACTTTAACTTTTTGCCATGGGTTCTCCTTATTAAACAACTAAAAGCCATGTCCATTTCCATTAAAGCCACTAAACCATTAGAACGTTTCCCATGAAACCACCTGCTCTTAGGGGAGCAGAGTTCGCAACCGAGGTATGGGCATGGAAGAGGGGGTTCTCTACGCCTGGAAAGTGGGCTGCGTGGCCAACGTGGTGAGCGGCCTCATTGCGACCATGTGCCTCGGCTCAAGAAAAATCCGTCCTGCGAGCCATGTGAGTCATGTCCTAGGTCTCCCAGCTAGGTGCCCTTTCTCACTCCTTTTTTTGGTTGGGAGGGTTCCCCTACTAAATTAGACTACAGAAAAAAAGGTATGCTTATTCTAACCTCTCTACTGGAGGACCCAGTATCACATGTCTGCAGAATTGGAACATCCCGAAGTGGTTGATGTGGGTGCCGCGTGAGACTTCAATGTAAGTCGAGGTGCGGCTTTGCCGGGCCATTGATTGTGAAAGTGGCTCCGGCAGGCCGGGGACTTTCTTTCCCGAAATTTTTCGGGGTTGACCTTGGACCACCCAAAAGTTGATGGTTCTGCACAAATACGGAGCTCGGCGAGCAAGGGCAAACTCCGCAGATGCATGAAGCCCCGTTTCCAGATGTTTGATTTGGCCGTGGGTCAAAAATTGGGTAACCCCAAACAAGAACCCTGGTATTTGGAGCCAAGGACAATTTAACCTGCGCTCCGATTCCTGGTTTATTTTTGACCCATTTGCAGCCTGTGGCTTGAGCTGCTCGCAGCAATCAAAACCGATTCGGGTAGAAGGTTAGCATGGGCCCGGCCCAAGCGGAAGTAGCTGCGGATATCCGCCTTTCGAGTTCTTTGCATGGTTCTGGGTGCACCAAATGTTTGCACCAGGTTTTGATTGTGACTCACTTGAGAGCACTCCGGGACAGGCAGTCTGATGGTGGCGCTGGCGGGGCTCGGCTTTACCTACCTTGGCATTGGCCAGATCATCAGCTGCTTCGATGTGGGGGGGGGGATGGGCAAAAGTTGGCTGTGGGTCAAAACCAATGGCATCCCATTTTGGGGTATATAGGTGCACCACCTATTTTGGAACCTATTTTAGTGGGGATTGGGATGTTCACTGGGGGTACGGGATTTTGACCCATGGGCAAAAGTTGTTTAGTGCCCAAAAAAGCAAAAGGTGGTCGAAGGGATTGTTGCCTTTGCAGAATCTCACCAGCTGAAGGGTTTGGGACCTTTGTCTTGCATTTTTGGACCGAGGGCAATGGGAGTCTCTTCAAAAAAGGAACCCCCCAAAGAGGGTGGGTGGTTTAGTGGTTTACCCTCAAGCTGAACCCCTTTCCAGTAGGACTTTCCTCGAACAGAAGGACCTCCAGCCCATAAAATCCAGGGACCGACTGCTCGGCAGGTGGGCCACCTCGGCTTGTTGCCCTTGGGCGTGGCGTTGGCGGGCTTCTTCGGAGAAGTCCGGACCTCGCCCTTGCCTGCAGCCCGGCAAAGATGATTTTCAATGGGGTTGTGGTGGGAAATGGGAGTTCATGGGGGCTAAGCAAGAGGGAGGGGGAGGGAGCTCAAATAAGGCCCTGCGGTTGACTTAGAATGCATTTTACATTTTACCAGTGACTCAAAGGGAAGCAAACAATAGAATATCCATTCTCTATAACTGGGCCTAAGTCTAATCATGGCCCTAAAGAAAGCCCTAAAGAAAGGGCTTAATTATCGCTTGTTTGGGCTCCCTCTTCCCAACCCCCATGAGGATTTGAGGTTGCCACTTTTCGCGAGACCAAGGGAATGCCTTTCGACGCCATAGAAAGTAATGAATGGGAAGCAACGACTTGGGTCAAAAAAAGACAGAGAAATTATGAGAGTCATCCACTTTGGTATCACAGAAAGGGCAATTTTCTCCAACCAGCTGAAGAGTCCTTGAACTGTTCAGAACTTGAACATGCACATCTCCATGACATGACTTGTTTTTGGTGCACATCTATATATTGTTCCTCAACTGTTTTGGTTGTTTGATTCTTTACCAAAGGACGTTTACCTACAACAACTAACTGAGCTGTGCCTTGTTTGAAAAGCTGGACAGTCCCAGAACCGGGGAATAGAAGCGGGCAGACTGTGAGCCCTGTGCAAAACAAAGTCGGCTCAGCAGGCGGCGCTTGCGCAAGCAGGACCCTCCGCACGGCACACGCTGCGCAACTCTGCCATGGTGATCCCTCCGCGGGCTTTCGCAGGGTCCACCCTCAAAAAACGTTTTCCCGTTGTTCATTTCGCATAGGGAACCCTCTGCGTGAAAATTGCGGGGGCGGCTAACTTGGCCAAGTAGTTCACGAGCAAACTTGGCTCCGCGCTTGGCTTCGCGCTTGAAGAGACCGACGCAGAAGAACGCGTGCCGCATGCCACGCAAAGAAGCGGCACCGCAACTGTCTTTGCATCTTTGAAACTTCCACCCCGAGTTTGCCAGACTTCACTAGTTCACGCGTAAATAAGACATACATATATCACACACACACACACACACACACACACACACACACACACACACACACACACACACACACACACACACACACACACACACACACACACACACACACACACACACACACCCACACACACACACGCACGCACGCACGCACGCACGCACGCACGCACGCACGCACGCACGCACGCACGCACGCACGCACGCACGCACGCACGCACGCACGCACGCACGCACGCACGCACGCACGCACGCACGCACGCACGCACGCACGCACGCACGCACGCACGCACGGCACGCACGCACGCACGCACGCACGCACGCACGCACGCACGCACGCACGCACGCACGCACGCACGCACGCACGCACGCACGCACGCACGCACGCACGCACGCACGCACGCACGCACGCACGCACGCACGCACGCACGCACGCACGCACGCACGCACGCACGCACGCACGCACGCACGCACGCACGCACGCACGCACGCACGCACGCACGCACGCACGCACGCACGCACGCACGCTCGCACGCACGCACGCACGCACGCTCGCTCGCACGCACGCACGCACGCACGCACGCACGCACGCACGCACGCACGCACGCACGCACGCACGCACGCACGCACCCACGCACGCACGCACGCACGCACGCACGCACGCACGCACGCACGACACGCACGCACGCACGCACGCACGACACGCACGCAAACGCACGCACCGCCCCCCAAACGCCCCAAAACTACGCCCTCACGCACGCCCGAGCCCCACACGCCAACGCCCGGCACGCACGCCCGCCCCACGCTCGAGCACCAACCGCAAGCACGCCCGCCCGCACGCATCACCGCACGCACGCACCAGCACGCAACACACGGCACGCCCGCGAACGCGACGCCAACCCCCGCCCCCAACAACCACGCACTCCCGCCCCTCACGCACTCACCGCGAACTCACGCCCGCACCTCAAACGCACGCACGC